TAACTCCCTGAGGGAGTTGTGGAACTCGACGAGAGTTCGGTTCGGAGAGAAGTACACGCCCACCACGGCGATCTCTCCGAACCGAGCCGCGACGCAACCCCTGCCTCGCTGAGGCCCTTCGGGGGTTGGGGTACCGGCGGCGGCCGACGAGATGATGGTCACCGAGCCGTCCAGGTCTGACACCCAGTGTTCCCTGGCTGGAACGAAGTACGGCTCGGAGACCACAGCAACATTGATCGACCACTGCGCCATGCTCTGGAGCAGGAGATCCTGAGCAGCGACGCAGTGGTTGATGTTCGCCTGGAGGAGGCGTAATGGAGCCATTATTGGGTATCCATCACGACCTCCTCTCTGACGGCAGCGGCGACAGCAGCAGTCGCAGGGGTGTTGGCGACTGCGGCGGCAGCGGGAGCGACGGTGGGAGCGGTGGAGGTGGCTACGGGCCTACCTTTGCTCCTGGGCTTGGTGGGGGGGGAGCAGGTTTTGCCCCCAGCCCGGTGATCGGCCGGCTTGCCAGCCGCCGCACATACTACGCAGTGCGGCGGGGCGGTACAAGCGCCGGCCCTGTGACCGGGCTGACCGCAGCGGAAGCAGCGGTCGCTGCGGTCCACCTCTGAGGTGCACTTGGCACCCACATGGTGACCAATGAGGCAGCGGAAGCACCTCAAAGGTCGGGGTTCCAGCAGCTTCACCTGCGCCGAAACCCAGCCCACCAGGAGCCTTTTGCCCTCCGACAGTTTTTTGGCCGCTGTGACGGGGCAGCTCACTACCACGGTCCGCAGCCCCGTATTGTCCGGGCGGATGGTGCCTGCCTTCACCTGATCAGCAGGGCACCCCCCCGTCCTTGCGACAGCGGCCGCCACCTCGTTCTCCGTCACGGAGTCATCCAGGCCCATGATGCGTAGTCCAAGCATTTGGTGGGCCTGGACACGCGAGCCTCATCCGCCGCAAGGCACGTCCTGAGCCTCTCGGCAAGGGCGTCAGCGGATGGGCCGCTGGCCGCGCCGGGGACCTCCAGAAGACGGGCTCCAGTCGCGGTGACCCTTACCGCGAACCCGTTAGGGGCCCCGAACTCCGCGGGAGTAACCGTCCCCTTCAATTTGGCGAGGACGTCGCCGTATGTCACCCCCTTCTTAGCCGCGTCCGGCTGTAGCGTGATAACTACAGCCGAAGATTTAGGGGTGAGGAGCATTGCCGCAGCGCGCTTCTCTTTGCGTCGCTGCTGCCGCCGCTGCCGCTGCTCCTTCTTGCGGCGCTTCCTCGCCTCTTTGGCGCTCCTTCTCGCCTGCCCGGCCACCTGCCACTCGTCGCCATCGGTGCGCAGCTCTGATAGCGGGGTTGGGGCTGCAACGGCTGGAATTTCAGCTGCTGCGCCTCTTCGCTTGCGGCTATTTGGTGCCAGAGGCACAGCAGGAGCCGGTGCCGGTTGAGCCATAGGCGTCCTCGTCAGCGGCGGGGCTCTCGGTGGTTTCGCCGCAGGGGGCACTTTCGCCCTTTTCTCCACCGGAGCGTCTGCTCTGACGCCGCGGCTAGGTGGCTGCTTCGTCTTCGCTGCCGCGGCTGCATAAGTGCCAGTTGCGAGCGGGGGTCGAAGGAGCCTACCCTCCAGAGCGTCGAAACGCTGCTGGAAGGCGGCCATCTCCTGCCGCATGAGGCCAAGAAGGTCGGCCTCCACTGGCTGCGAGGGTTGGGGACGACCCGCGCGAGCAGCGGCGAGTTCCGCCTTTGCTGCACGAAGTTCCGCCTCCAGGGCAGAGTTCGCAGCCGCTAATCGGGCCAGCTCGCGCCTCATTCCGGCCATCTCTTTTTGCAGAGCGGTCATCTGCCGCTCTGCTGAGCCCTTCTGGGATACCGCCGACATTATTGCGGCCTCCGCGTGCTTAAGCACTCCGTTCCTGCCAGCCTGGGTTTTTTGCCCAGCCAGCATGCGGAGTGCTTCCTTAACCTGGAGGCGGAGGCTCTCAGCGCCGCCTGCAGAATCCTCACCTCCGGACACCTCCATCTCCGAGGAGTCCGAGGGGGCAGCCTTTCCCAGGGCGCTCCCCTCCGCTGCCAGCCGCTCTGCCGGCTCAGAGCGGCTCCCAGCCGCTCTTGTGGAGCCCTTCCCCTTGCCCCTACCCCGCGCAGCCGTGGGGATTTTGGGGGCTGGGGCCTCCTGCTCGATGGAGGACGGCTCTCGGCCATCCTCCAACCTGGGACGTTTGAAAACGCCCCGGTCTTTTTTGTGGCGCAGCGCGATGCTGACGCCAGACAATGATGAGTCGGACTCTGAGTCCGACTCCTTCCTCCCCGGGGCCCGTGCCCGAGACTTGCTGGACGGGGCCAGCGTCCCCACGAACCCGAGAGCCAACCTGGCCCTCGCTATCGCCTCCAAGCGAGCTGACCTCGCTTGCCTTCTCCTCACCGGTAGGTGGATTTTTATTATTTTTGTGTTTAGACATCTCCATTGAAGTCCCACGAGTATGGGGGAAATAAGAGGTCCGCCCAGGGAGAGCCCCCTGTCCCTGGGTAAGTGTGCATTTGTCTCCCAACTAGGGGGTCCACCGGTCCCCTAGCTGGGGGTGCGCTCACGACTGATCCTACTCCTCAGCCATACATACCCTCGCCGCGCACCAGAACTTAGTATTGGAGGAATTTTTTATAGAGATTATCTTCCTCGCGGTCCGGGCGGTTAAGCCAAGACCCTCGTCCCGGTCCGAGTCATAAAACATGACCATGATCTCTTCCCGGATTACGATATCGACGGGTGCAGTCGGGCGCAGCTAGTGCCCCGATGCTACTCATTGGCAGGGTGAGTGCACAACGAGCGCCGCCCTTGTTTCTCCGCCCCGCTCTCTGCTAGGTCCAGAGAGTCGTGCGGAGGAACGCCCCCACGGAGGCATAGACTCTATGCCAGCATAGAGCCGGTCGCCTCTAGAACCCGACCGGGTTCTCCGCCCGGCCAGAAGTTCGCTGCGGGCGACAGTCAAACCAACCCTGTCACCATCCCGTTAGGGAGACTGTCGCCCGCACCCAGGGTGCACCACGGGGAGGTCTTCTGGCACGCACCCCGCGTTGCATGGGCTGGGATGATTGCTTCCCTCTAGGTGATTCGAAAGCTACATATTAAGCTGACCAGATCATAAAAAGAATTGATAATCATATAGAAATCTCAATTTATTGTAAATAATCAATTACTTATGTGAATTAAAAGAGAAAAAAAGAAAAGGACTTTTATTCAGACATTTATACAGAGTAGAGTTTTCTTAGTTAATTCACGTCAGTAAGTTGTTATTTAGGATATAACACGAAAGTTTAATGTGGGAGAGGCAAGCTTCAGAACGTTATGGGTCGGCTCGAACGGAGTGACACCACGGCCTCACAGAAAACCGACGTGAAGCAACCACAGCGTTGTGTTTCGCCGTGTGAGTGAGGTTACCGGAGGCCCAATCACCTTCCCTTCCCAATCCTTCAATAACTGAAACCCTTATCCCTAAAAGGCCGGCAACGAACTGCTTTGGTCTCCATGGCGGCGCTGATTGCTTACCATCAGGCAATCCGTTTGCTCGTTTGCCGATCTATTCCTTAGAAAAGTAACTATTAAAAATATGAAGATCTGTTTCGTGATTTGCATTTGACGTGAGTAGTCCACGTGGTCCGGTCTGTGACCACAATAGTCTCCCGAGCTCTGCCAAGAGCTTCTACTAATATTAACCGAGGAACGCGGGGCGGTCACACTAGGGTGCCCATATGTATTACGTCGCCAGGAAATGTCCTAGATACTTTTTGCTTTGACCTACATTGTGAACCTATATTGATATGAGACTTTTTAATTATGCCTTTGTGTGATTTCTCTTGCTGTGTGTCGTCAATATTTTCTAGATTGTAAGATTTTTTACATGATGATGTTTCTGAAATGAACACTTAATTTGAAATACCAATTTAAGGAACGGTCTAATAATAATCTGCAAACATTTGTTAAACTTTACATGGAGCATAATCATATTTAAATTAATTTATAATATTTTTCCTTCTAAAGAGTTTTACAGATAAGAGAGAAACCTCTCTAAAGTCAAAGTTCAAGTCAAAATTTATTCAAAATAAAACATAAACGGGTGCTTTTGATTAAATTAACTAAAACGGGTGCTTTTGAAACGTGAAAATAGTATAATACTCTGTCAGTTTGTTCGTCGGTGAAGCTCAAATTGAAAAGCAAAAATTATTAATTTGTTTGTCCATTTACATTAACAACGTATCAGGAAATAAATAAAACAAGTATGTTACAAAAAAATGTCCCACGAAAACACACAAACAAATTCATCCTACTCGACCCGGTTTCATCGGCAGTGATACACATTGTCTCGTCGTTTTATCAGCACACGATTATTATGATTTATGACCAATCATCTCCCAGGACATTCCCAGGAATCTCTGATAGACCAATCAAGGCTTAGATTGAGGACTAATTAGTGTTTTGATATTATAGAGGTGATAAAGTAACTATAAATTCTGGAAGACATCTTTTTCTCATGCGATAGGTCGTACTTAGCCTAGATAGCGGTTTAAAAATATATGGATAAATTCCCTATAGATATGTACATAAAATATAGTATGTAAAGATTTTTTCCAAAAAAGATTTACGTTCCATCCACGTTAAGACAACATGACTTTTTTAGCTAACCTAGATAAATTAAATGCATGTAGATAAGTGATTTTTTAAAAGGAGACCCAATCCTCTCCTTCTGTCCTGAAAGCACCAAATCCATCCATCCCAAAAAAGTCGTCAACGCAATCTTATTTCCTCTGTTGTTGCGTGTGGCCATGGGCTGCGCTGATTGCTTACCATCAGGTAATCAGATTGCTCGTTTGCCGACTTATTAAATAAAAATAAGTGATAACTTTGATTAACACAAAAGCTACTTTTTATCAACATACCAGGCAAAGAAGCCGCGTGTGGAAACTAGTGCGTTCATAAAGTACCGTTACATAACTTGTAAATAACATTACCTTTTTGTCGACAGAAACATCAACCACAATGCCGCTCCAACTCCGAAGAAACCGTTGCTCCTCATTCGTGAGGGAGAACCTGTTGACGCTGCTGACAGTCATCGGCGTGGTGTCAGGAACTATCCTAGGATGCTGTCTGCGAGCTTCAGGGCAGGAGTGGTCCCGGCGTGACGTCATGTACTTCCAGTACCCGGGAGAACTATTCTTGAGGATGCTAAAGTCCCTTATAGTACCTCTACTGGTCTCCAGTATCGTATCAGCTATTGGATCACTGGACTTAAGCTTATCTGGCAAGTGAGTCGGCTTTTAGTTGCTAGTTGTTAATTTATTTCTGACGAAATTCCATATAGTACTCACCTACCGTTGAGAGAACAAGTAATAATGATACAACAATGACAAAACTCGCTTAAAAGAAAAAGGATAAATTAATTGACTCCTAATTTCCTCCAGGGTTGGTCTCCGCGCTATTATTTATTACATGACCACGACGATATGTGCCGTGATGCTGGGTATTGCCCTGGTCACCACCATCAAGCCGGGCAAGGCCTCCGCGGACTACACCCAGCCAAACGCCACCAAGGTCGTGGTGAAAGACACCCTCACTACCGATACATTGCTGGATTTGATCAGGTTAGTGGAATTGAGAATTTTCTAGAATATTTACAAATTAATACTTACGTTATTCCTAATTTAAAACCAGTAGTGTGACATGGATGTAACTCATTCTCAGTAATTAGTTTTAAGTGTTGCCATATTTAAATAGACACAAACAAAATACTCAAATCATTCCACGTTTTACTGTTCGGACTTTTTTTGTTCTTTTTATTTGCTCGTCTATAAAATGAGCCAATAAAATCAATAAGTCTAAGTAGCATATTTAAAAATAATTATAATAAATCCCTTACACGTGGAACTTGAGAACATCTTAAAACATGTTTTCTTCGTTCGAAGTATTCTAAGAATACTGGCAGCTATCTAAAGTTGCCATAGAGAATCAATACTCGTGGGTTGCAAGGCTATCCGTTAATATTTTCCTCGTTCGTCTGGAAAAAGGAATATAATATGAAAGTTATACTTTATAAAAGCAGAAATGCAAACGTAAATCCTGCTTAGCCTCCTTTTGAGGGAATACTTTTTGATACAAACCGCCGATGGATTATCCGGAGCAATTTTGTAGCGATCCTTTCTTGTCATAAATCCCGGACACGACATTTTGTTAATTGTTTTCTGTTTTATTGTTATTTGATCAAATTCCAACCCATTCATCATTATGTTCTAAAATTAATATTGTTCAAATTATTAACATGGAACTACATTGGAAGTTAGTATAAGCACATACTTACTTAAATTATGTAAAACATAGGTAACAGATAAAACACGCCTTTGATCCACTAGATGAAAAGAAGAAACCAAAGAAAATCGCTTGGCATGCATTTTCATATAACAATTTTGCAAACAAACTGAAATAAAATCGCGTAAACAATTCTAGAGCATTCTGCTATGTTAACAGTACAGTATGATACAATATCGTAACATATGACGCAGGATCATTGGCTTAACGCTCTTAATATGTGTCACATCACTGGTAATTTCGCCATCCGCCTGACCCGGGCCAAATTAGCTCGACAAATGATATGCATGATTTAAATATTACGTGTTTCCGAGGTAACTGTGTTAATTACGGCGTCCAATTTAAACCCGATGCGGGAAAAGGTCAAAGTGTATATGAAATATCATGTAAAATAGAATAAAGTTTTTGCAGTTATTTGGCTTGATTTGTCTCATTTGTATGTGTGTAAGTCGAGTCTCAAATACGTCAAGTTTTTTTATGTGGTAGGACGTTGCCTATGTATTCCCGCAACAACATAGTGTAACGAGTGCGTTGACGACCTTTTGAGGATTAGGGATTTGGAGATTTAGGAATTGGGGAGGGATCAGGGTTGGGAGTCTGGCGGGCTACTGCCCAACAGTCGTCCGGTGGGGTTTTTCTATCTGTGTTTCTTTTAAAAACTTTATGTAGATCTTATGACGCCATCTGTTGAACATTGTGGTCGATCTATGTCCGACGCCAAACTATCATCCACAGAGTTATAGTTTAATATCATCATCATCAGCCTATAAGTGCTCACTGCTGAGCAAAGGCCTCTCTTCACATGGAGAAGGTTTGAGTATTAACCACCACGCTTGCTCAGGGCGGACAAGTGTTTTGAAACTTATAATCAGATATTATAAGTCCAGGTTTGCTCATGTTTTCTATTCAACATTATTTAAGACGATGGAAGCATTGATTGGGCAATTGATTGCTAGATTCTTTTTCGGAACTATTTAATTTCTTTCGATTCGATGCTTTATGTGGTCCCAAAAATTGTTCAAAGCGACTTACGATTACACACGTAGAGGAGAAAATATGAGGGTAAAGAAGTGATGTAAAAAAACTGTTTGATTTAAAAATCGAATGCTATCTCGATACAAGTGTAGCACATCGTCCTGCACAGATCAAAGGTCACGCAGTTGTCGCTATCGGCCGTAATTGCCCGACACCTGATTTACGATGTAACTGCTCACTTCGTCTGAGCTATTCGTGAGTCAATTGTTTTTAAAACTTTTTCTCATTCTTCTTGAACAGATAAAAGGTTACTTACTTCTTTGTCCTCAAGATTCTTTTTCAATTCACGTATGTTGCGATCAGTATAAAGATATGTTTTGAGAAACTAAAATAGAAGGACATTGATAATTTCTCTCTCTCTCTTCTTTTGAGGAAGAACAAAGATCCTCTGTTCGATCGATCGAATGATCGGTTCCTTCTCCTGCTTCGACCCGTAACTGCGGTAAATCGCTTACACCTACGTTTTTCAGCATTGAACATCCCCGGCTCGAAATATTATTATAGAAGAATAAAAATATGCATTCAATATTAAAAAGAAGTCGGTTAATTAATGCACATTTTTTCTGCTAACTAGAGCTGTCCAGAACGTATCTTACTGTGTATTCAAATTACCCTTAATTATAAAATTCCTTCGCAAAATGTCGATCTGTTTGGTTGTTAAAATGTTTAAATTTAATCTCTGAAACCCTAATCCCCAAAAACCAGCAACGCACTCGCAGCTCCTCTGCTGTTGCGGGTGTTTAAAGAAAAATTTATAAGGGAAATTTTCACATAAGAAAAATTTGCTTCGTCGGCGTCGTGAAGTCGAGTTAAAAAAATAATAATGAAGTCAAGTTAAAAAAAAAAAACAACTAAAAGTAAGACTCTGTAATTAAATCACGAACCCATAAGTTTCTGACTCTACGACAATACTCTTTGAAAGCGTCACATTCACGATAGAATAGTAACGTGCTTGTCTATGCCCTGTGAGCTCTATGCGTGAAACATGGCGGTGTAATTGTCAATTGCAGGCCGGTGAGAACGAGGTGGGCAAGGATCACGCTTGTTGTTTCTCTATCTACATTCAGCCAGCTGTATTTGACATTTCACTGATGTACTGTGCCCTATATGCAATTAAGTATGGTTGGTTACTATCGAAGTAAGGAGTTTAATTGAAAAGGAAGGTATAAATAGGTCTTTGTCTTTCTGACGCGGCCATTCTGCCCTTTGCTCAAAGCAAAGCGCTTTGAGCAAAGGGCAGAATGGTTTACAAAACCAGTAAGCTTAATGTCAACGACAAATGTCCGGTTGTTATTTTTCTTTAATTATTTATGGATAAATCAACCTCATTGTACCTTATCTTGACTTTATTTACTCACAATTTATTAGTATACAACTATTATTAACTATATTTAATTGCAAAACTCTTCTCTGCCCAATTGTATGTTTGAAAAATAAATTAATAAATGATTTGCTATAACTATGTTCAGGTTCAACTAGTTTCAGGTGGCATCGTTTGAATAGGGATGTGGGAGAGCCTAGCTCTCCCACATCGTCCCCTATTCCTATTCAAACATCTTGGTAAGGCTCTCAGAGCCTGACACGACACGCTCGACCTGAGTGATATTACGATAAATACGTTCTCACGAAAAACCGGCGTGAAACAACGATAGAGTAGTGTTTAGCCGTGTGAGTGAGGTTACCAGAGGCCCAATCCTTTTCCTCCCCCATTTCCTAATCCCCAAAAGCTCAGCAACGCAATCGTAACTCCTCCGTTGTTGCGGATGTTTGTGGACAGCGCTGATTTCTTGCCATCAGGTAACCGCTCTGTCTCGTTTGTCGACCTATATCATAAAAAAGCTATGTCTTAGAAATTGTATATTTCATTTCTACAAAATGTACATAAGGACACAATCGAAAATGTCGTACCTAAGCTTAATTAGTTAATAGCTTCAGTCCCAAGAGAGAATTGTTTAACAAAAGGTAGTTAGTAGCATTTCCCACGAGACGACAAACCTTTGGTAAGTTTCATTTACAATGTACAAATAAAGACAAAGCTTGAGTTAAGTAGTGTTACGTTTGTAATGTCCAAATAGTAGTTTATATTCATTTGTTAAACAAACGAATAGAATAATTATTTTACATTTTAATTAAAAAGAGAATGAATAGCTTCATCTTGTAACTTTGGCTCCAAACACAATCAATTTGTTTTAATACAAGAAAAGAAATAATTAAATTCAAACTATAATATTACAAATGCGAACTCTGTCTGTCTGTCTTTTCCTCACGCCTAAACTACGCCTAAACCAATTTCTGTCAAATTTGGTACAGACGCAGTTTGGAACTCGAGAAAGGACATAGGATAGTTTTTATACCAAAAATCTGCAGGAAGTCACTATTCCACGCGAACGGAGTCGCGGGCAAAAGCTAGTATTTCATATATATAATAAAAAACTACGTCTTGTGACGTTTGGTACGGCTGCTTAAAAGCTTTTTTAAATACAAACATTTATGAGCTCATTGGTCATAATAATATGTCAAGTGTGGAACAGCTATGCATAAGCCCGAATGGTTCTGCTTGATTGCCGTAATAAATTACCACAGCGTTGTTTCGTCATGTTATTGAGGTTACCGGAGGTCCAATCCTTCTTTCTTCTTCTTTTCTCCCTTAATCTCTGAATCTCCGAAACCCTAATCCCCAAAAGTGTTGCGAACGCGTTGGGCGGCGCTGACAGATAACTGCCGATTCAACACATTAAAAACATTTTGAGGTTTAGACAGCCCTAGTAATAGTATATATCAATGAAAAAGACAATAGTGTTCACGCGACTGATGCTTGGCGACAGGACATCAGGTGGTGTTACGTCACTTGAATCAGATTACTGAGAATACTACACAAACTGACGAGTTGGGAAACTCAATTTCGTGGTCGTTATTGGAGTATACTTCGAAGAAATCGTACATATTTAAAAGTGTAGCTAATATAGAACAAAATTGAAACATAAGTACAAACTTTTTAGTGGTATTATCTATATAAAAATTTTTTTAAACATTCTTTTTTTTATAGAAAACGTTGCCCCACTCTAGTGTTTTCTCCTGTGTCGTGGGTGCGGTTACAAACATACAATTTCACATGCACATGACACCCAGACCCGGAACAACAATTTACACAAAGAGTTGTTCCGTGCGGGAATCGAACCCGCGACACGTTGCACGGCAGCCAGTTGCCCAACCGCACCAACCGTGCAGTCTGATAATGAAGTATCTTTCATGATTCTTACTGGAGGTACCCATATATTAAGACATACCTACGTAATTTAGTAACACTGAAACGGGGTGTAAAGAGAGAAGGGTAAATAGATCCAGAAGAGGGGTGAATACATACTAAGAAAATTCGCCAACATAAATTCACCTCTTTTGTGATTCTATTCACCCCATTTCAGGGTACATTTTTAATTTTTATTTAGACCATATCCTTTATGTCTAGCTGGGCTATCATTATTCATAAGCTTTGTACAGTTATAAAACACACAAATAAATACAACGCTACATCAGATCGTCATAAACCATGAGAGGTTACCCCAAGAAACAAAGCAGCGTTAGGCTTTGACAATTGCCCCAATTCCTCTCATTGTTAACCTTTTTTTACTCTTCGGCCCTCAGGGCAAGCTGATAAAAGAATTTCGGTGTTTCATCACTTTCAGCGGTTAATGTACCTACCGTACTGAAATCTGATTCAATTTGTCCCAAATCGTATTATAGACATCGTAATTTTTCGATGGAAGCATTTTCTTTACATATTTTGTTACATTTTCATCAGTGTATTGAAAATATTAGGAGTACATACATTCTTTTTTCGCTTTTATTTGAGATTTTTCGTTGGAATACATACATATAATAGAATGTCAGATTATTTGATTTTGGCTTATCGTTTTTGCTTTCCAATTTGTTGGGTTTCTTACTGAAGTTTTGTGGAAAAATTTAAGGAAATCGTGTAATATCAAAATAACTCTCCTACAAACACTATGCTGTACCGGCGAAGATAAAATAATTGTAATATAGATAACTAGCATCTGCCCGCTGCTTTGCCCGCAATACCTGTGCAAAAAGCCTGTGTAAATACTAGATTATTTGTTGAGTAGTTTTACATGAAAGAATAACAAACGTCCATGAATAGAAACTTTTGCGTTTTTAATATTAGTAGGATGAAAACAATTGCCTTTTGACACAAGCTCAGGACATGCTAGTACGGATATTTTTTAATTGAAAATCATAATTTGGCTTTGTTTAAGCTAAGAAAATCAAGTATGGAAGAGCCATGCTTCGGCACGAATAGGAGTGATACCATGGCTTCATAGGGACCGGCGTGCCTTATGAGTAAGGTTACCCAAGGCTCAATCCTTTGCCTCCCCCATCGATGTCCAATACCAAAATCCCCAAAAGACTGGTAAGGCACTTGTAAGTCCTCTGGTCAAGATTGCTTACCATCAGGAAGGCCGTATATTCGTTTGCCGACCTATCACATTATACTCTGTAATCTTGTCATAGGCTAGTAGGGTCACGAACCTGTCAAGTAGCCATAATTCGGCATAGGAAAGAGCCACTGCTATTACAAGACAAAAATAAGTCTTAATATGGGGAGACACGCACGTTGTGAGTAAGTGGGTTAATCATCATTCATAGATGTTCGCTGGCTGAGGGCCAGTAGTACCTAGTTCAGATGCCCAGCACATCAAGCGGCAAGAATCTACCATGCTTCTTCAATGCAATATCAACCTTAACCTTTTGCTTTAAAGTTTGAAATCTTTTAAGAACATTCATCAGTCTTGAGTACTGTGATGTGCTGGTCGCAGTATCATTTATGCACTTTTGCAATCTGAACGTTGTTATTTGTTATTGTAGGTTCAAGGTCGTTTAACTACACGTGTGTAATCTGTCATGTTCGGATCAGTTTTGTAAATAGAATTTGTCATCGGATTGTTCGTTGAAAAAGTGATTTTATTCGTTTTTAGGTACGTCATAATTTTGGAGTTTCTATGAATTGTATTGGACTGGTCTTGTTGTACTCACTGTAGGTGTAACACTAGTAATTTTAGAAAATACTAGTTCCTTTTTCACACTACACTATTATATTACTGTTTCACATATTTTGCTAAAAATTGAAAATATTAAAATTGTAATTTCTTTTAATGCCAATAATTTAAACACAACTAAAGTTTTATGATGAAGGGCCAAAAAAATCCGACAGAATCCTGATACAACGCATAGACTGCGCTAGAAATAGTTTTAAGGCAATAACGGACCATTATTTCTCATGCTTGGGTCACATTCGGATGAAACGTAGGCGCTCTTAGTCAAACCAGTAACATTCATACACGAACCCTAAAAAAATAATAAGTATGCTCTTGATAATTTGACTAACGACTCTAAATTGCAGGATGAGCGACTTTTTACAGACAAAATTTGTTATTTAAAAAGTTAATTTAATTAAGATCATTAGTTACACGTACACACCGGAAATGACGAACTATTCCATTCAGCATATATTATGCTGCAACTGTATAGCGTACACCTTTTAATAATTTCAAAAGATTCGTCCTTCATACATTTTTATGGTGACGTGGTTTTTTTTGTGTAGTCAGAGAAATTTGACAGATGTCGCTAATGAAGTTATTATTGTAAAATACGGTAGTTCCCAACTAGTCCAATTCAATACTTTTATCCACACGTCAAAAACTATACTTTTCTATCTAAATTTGTATGAAAAATTGAGTTATGACGTCATACCATTTTTGCGTCAAATAGCTTATACTTATACTTATACTAGCTTATAGCTTATACTTATTTCTTAATAATTAGCTGAAAAAAAACGAAAACTTAGTGTATCGATCGATCGATGAATAAGAGTATAGTTGTTATTTTTCAATATTTTATTTATTGAAAAGTCGAATATTAATTAATAATTTATTTTTGACCTAGGAAACTACTCAATTATAACTGAAAGGAATTAATACCATGGCTTGGTTTTTCAACAATTAGTTCTTTGCATTGTTTTTATACAAAATAATGTATCTATGTGCGATAATAAAACATTTTTATTTCTTACTCGTTCTCTTCCACCTAGCATCTACGACTAGACTACTATATGTTTTAGTTAGATGAAATATATATGACTTTGATTTTGAAAGCTGAAAATAGTCTACGTAGCTTCGCAGAACACACCTAAATCGGTGCTACTATTCTCAACAAGACCCCGTGGAAAAATAATGTGTTTAACGAGAATCCTTTTGTTTATTACAGAAATGTCTTCCCTGAGAACCTTGCGCAGGCGACGATCGCGACATACCGCACGAGGCTTGTTTACGATAAGAACGATACTAATCATCGATTTGGTAAGTAATAAGTAAATAACAATGTCCATGGGCGGCGCTGATCGCTTACCATCAGGTGATCCGTCTGCTCGTTTGCCACCTATTCCATAAAAAAAAAATGTTTTTTTTTTGTTCTTGTTCCGTAAAGTCTACTTCAGCAGTTTATTCTGGAAGGTGTGTTTAAGCAAATGAAAGAAATAATATGAAAATACGTTGTGTTTAAGTACCTGGCGTATAAGAATTATATGGAATATTAAATATGTATAACTCAATATGCTCAATGAAATTGACTATTCGATTTTAGCATTTTGGTTTTACGATTTTTTAAATAGTTGGTATCGTGAGTCATACTAAAGGTATTGAAAATAACGATTCAGTCACGTGATTTCACTGAGAAACGCTCTACTAGTTACAAGTCAGTATGGGACTCTTATTAATGAGCAGCATTTGCGTCCCAGCGACATCTCTTTGCCGACTCTGGTAGAGTGTTTTTCAGTAACATCATGTGAGTAAGTCGTATTAAAAAAAAACCGTCTAAAAAATGTCTCGTGACAATTACTTTTTTTATCAATCTTTGTTTGCATGTTCAGAATACATGGTAGATATAAATATAGATGGGCCATATTATCTTCTGACTGTTTCCAGTCCATTAGGGGTAATCAAATACGATTTAAAAAGTAACTAAATCAGTAAGACCACTTGACGGCTGCGTGTTCAGACAATTTGTGTACCAGCTAACTGAACAATGAGTTTTATTGCAAAATGATGATGAATTACTCTTCTAATTGTGAACAAAAGATTTAAAGGTCTTACAAAAGAATAGTTAGCTATAGCATCTGTGTTATCTACGTCGTTTAGTTCTTGCTAGATGTTCACATATTGGTCATCAGGGTAAGGCTACTGAAAGTCTTTGTTTTTGATAATATTATATTGGGCATTGAGTATTGGGCTACTGCTTTAGGCTGTAGGGCTATATAAGGCTATATAATATAAAGTATAGTCGCTACCTCTGCCTTTATATCCCGTGTACCCGTATGTACGCTTAAATCTTGAAATCTATGCAACAGATTGTAATGCGGTTTTGATTAAAGTTATAAATTTTCAAACGAGCATATGGATGACCTAATGGTAAGCAATCGGTAGGCCTTCCTTAGACCAGATAGCGCCATTTTTAATATCATAATATTACAAGAATAGTCTAGATTTATAATTAAACTAGATACTTTTGCGCGGTTTCACTAGCTGCTCGGCTCATTTAATCGTAGCGTGATGTTTTATAGCCTATAGTACTAAGGAACATTGTAGCTATCTATCAGTGAAAGAATTTTGGATATCCGACCAGCGGTTCTAAAGATTAGCCCCTACATACAAACTTATAAACACAAACTTACAAATTTTACCTCTTTATAATATTAGTATAGATGTTCATCATGTGTATAATATATCAACTTACTGCGCGTTCCAGGTGAATTGGAGACTTATCAGATCACAGGCGAGTACCAGAGCGGCAGCAATGTTTTGGGGTTGGTGTGCTTTAGTATCGTGCTGGGGATCACTTTGGGAAAGATGGGAGACAAAAGCCGGCCGCTACAGGACTTCTTCCACGCTTTATCTGAGGCCATGATGATCATTACTGGATGGGTTATTTGGTAAGAATATTGTATTTGCCTTTTTGACTTTTGGTAATAGACCACACTTTAGTTGATATAATTTTATATATGGTGTATATTAATACACTGTTGAAATCGTCAATCCGCCTTGACAAGTAGGTATACATATATTGTTAACAAGACCAATTAATGCATGAATATCATAATGTTGAATTAACATCAGTACCTATGTGAACATATTACATATGAAAACACTCCTTAAAAATATTTATGTTACGAAATACAAAGTACTAATTCCATGTTTCAGGCTATCGCCCCTTGGTGTGTTCTTCCTGGTGACAGCAAAGATTATGGAGATCGATTCATTCAAGGAGCTGGTGGGTCGGTTGGGACTGTACTTCATGACGGTACTCCTTGGATTGTTCCTTCACGGGTTCGGAACCCTCAGTATCCTGTTCATCCTGGCCACCAAGAAACTGCCGTGCCGATATATTGCGAAGATGGGACAAGTCATGGCTACTGCTTTTGGAACAGCTTCTAGGTATGTCTTTGGTAAAACTATTAAAATGGCTAGTAGTGGTTCAATGTTCATCCTCAAGTATTTTAGTATGATGTCCAATTGTTGCGAAATAAATTAGGAAAACGGTTAATAAAAAAAATCTATTTTCTTTTTAAGTTTGTTGAAATTTTTAAGGCGTACCTAAGGGTAGCACACTGGAGCCAACTCATATTTAAGTTGACCATCCTGTTTGATTTGTAGTCCATATTTAACGAATTTAAAATTTTATTTAATAATCTTTTTAGTCTTTCTTGTTTATGAAGCTAGTCTCACAGTTTCATTATCACATTTCTAGCTCAGCGACAATGCCAATAACGATCGGTTGCTGTGACGACATGGGTCTGGACCCTCGCATCACCCGGTTCGTGATCCCCATCGGTGCCACCATCAATATGGACGGCACAGCTCTGTATGAGGCCGTCGCTGCCATCTTTATCGCCCAGCTCAGGAAAGTCGAGATGTCATTCGGAAAGATTATTGCTGTGAGGTGCGGTATAATTGTTTGCGTTAGCTATATATTTAACATGTTTGCTATTATATATATTATTTTTTAATTCTATGCTTCAAAATAAGAAGCATCTTGTACCAAAACAGCTTGAGCAACTGCGAATCAACTACTAAGGATCCGTGTCTTGATTTAACGTATCTACACAGCCCGTTGTTAATTCATTTTAACGAAAAGATTTTTGTTCTCCATTATCTTCAATTAGGTCATCCTTTAAAGTTGTATCTCTATTGCATTTGAGAAAATATACTCTGTTATTTTTTGCCATACTTTTGTGTAAATTGCCAAATCTTCGATAAATTTGATATTGAAATATTATTTCACTGCATATACTTACTAACTAAAACTAAATGGCAATTTTATATGAATACCTACAATAATTCAATTCCACTTCCATATATAAACCTATTATTATATCAAGATACATATCTACTAATAAAACTATGTACTATATAATATTTCCAGTGTCACAGCTACGGCGGCAAGTATAGGCGCGGCCGGTATCCCTCAAGCTGGTCTGGTGACCATGGTGATGGTGCTGGACACCGTCAACCTGCCTGCTGAGGATGTGTCCATCATCCTCGCTGTCGATTGGTTGCTGTAAGTATATTTACTTGTCTATAAAATGATATTGACTTTACTGTACTCTATATAAGGTATTATTTTGAACGAGGGACATATTCAAGGAAATTCTGGTGCTCAAATAAAACAATATTTTCATAAGACCAATTTAGAAACTCAAAAAATGTTTACTTCTCAATGCAAAATGATCGATCAGCTGTTGCGATTTGTATAAGGGAAATATTTTCGAAATTTCGATATTGGTCTTACGGAAATTGGTTTTATTTGAGCTCCAGAATTTCCTTGTTTTTTTTAAGGCGATGAAATTGCAATACCTTTCCCTTTTCTACTCCTAGAAATACCGGTTGTTCTTACTGAAAAGCAACCCCTTATTACAAAACATCATTATTATCTTTAGGTTTAAACCCATTTAAACCTAGGGATAAATCTTATTATTCTGGATCTTTTTAATCTTATTATTCTGGAAATTAAGGGCTGATTTTTCGATTGTCAGTCAGATAAATGTTATCTGATAATCTGAGAAATAAAATTGTTGCTGTCACTGTTACAAACTTATACAAACATTCTGACGCGACAGCATCAGAATTATTCCCCAGGTAACTTGTAGCCACGTTTTGAATTTTGAAACTTGTTCTCACCTATCTTCAATTTTGAAATACAAAAGCTGGCTCAATAGTTTAGACCTACAATAAAAAAAACTTGTTTTGTAATAAAGCCGTCAAAGGTTTTATATAAAGTACTAAGGTACTTTGTTTACACAGTTTTAAGACTGCTTGATCAATGGCAGTTTTATTTCGAGACTTTTGATGATCTCAGCTTGTATAGACGAGTCACATGGCAGTCCTGGTTCGCAGGAGATTGTGGCAAGAACTGCTCTAAACGTTGAACCAATTCATTAGGTTAATTAGACCAGGGTTACTATGTAGTTGGGTATTTAGTGCAATGCGAACGCAATACAATGAAGGGTAGAGTTACACGTAATTGATACCATAGTCTCATCTAGGTTAACCCTTTTTATTAATTGTCCTAGTCACAATAATTAATTATACTGTATGTGACATCATTTGTTGTTCGAGTAATATTTATTAATGACACATTTCTGTTAAGCTTATAAATACTAGGTACTTACTGTATCTGTATTAAGATTGGAATTGTTCTTAATCTCCAGACTCCAATCGTTGTTATTTTGTGCTTGGTCACCTAAGTTTCGGTCGGGATCAAAAGCTATAACATTTTTAAGTTTAAATACAATATAACATTTTCTAGTATGCCAATAAATTTAAAGAACAATATTTTTAACTAAAAAGACAATACGTTGGGATTTTCTCACGTGTCGTGTAAAAACATACAAATTCACACACACACAGACATAAGCCATCCAGATCTAAAACTTATGGATCACACAAAGTATTGTTCATCCGTGCGGGGTCGAAACCGCAAAACGTTGCACAGCAATTGCCTAGCCACTGCCCAACTATGCAGTCATCAATTATTCAAAGCTAATTTGTGTATAAAAATACCAAAAACTCATTTGAATGACCATAACCATAATCAATTGTTTATCAACAATTAAATGTAACTTTATTATTTTTTATTTCAGTGACCGATTCCGCACAACGATTAATGTAGTATGCGATGCTTTGGGCGCCATTATTGTGACGTCACTGTCACAGGGTGACATAGACAAAACTCGCGCAGCCAACAACGAAAGGGATGGGCGAAGTGATGCGCCCTCACATGAACTAACCGAAATAGAGAAGGGCGACCATTGAACTGAAAATAACGGAAAATAAGTCCACCGTTGATTTGCGTGGTCAGACAAAAAGGAATAACGTTGAACGAAAAATAAATATAACAGTATCATGTTGAGTTGTTAAATTAATAACGAGTACAAGTTGAGCTTTAAAAAAAAAATTGTTTCATATCAATAAATAATAGTTAAAAAATAAAAAAAATCTGCTTATGAGTTCTCTCAGTTGTCGAAAACCTAATAAAAAAAGAAAGAAGTGTCGATGGTTATTCCATTCAAATGAGACAGTTATTCCATTTTTAAAAATAATTGAAGATAACGTTGTAACAACCGTTATTTCGTTATGAATGAAAGTTATCATTGTATAAAATATTGATCACTCAGGATAATATTAATTATATCAGTGTTTATTATTGTTTAGGAGAATTTCTTTACATTTTAATAATGGCATATTGAAATAAATCTTGTTGCTGAACCAGTGAATGAGACAATCTATTTCGTGCGTTTCGATATTTAAAAAATCGACGGTTGAAGAAAAATATTTTTTAAATAAACATTATCAGTATTTCGTACTAAAACATTAAAGTAAATGTTAGAAGGAGCTTACAATGTGTCGGTGTGTTCTATATGTGCCATTTTATGTAGCTTTAAAGTAGCTGTCGTTATGATGTTTAGAATTTTCGACTCTATACATATTGTACTACTGTTCGAATCAGAATGTTCTTGTAAATCACATTGTGTCGCCTATTTATAACAGTCATTTAGAAATATTATGACCTTTTTAATATAATGTAGGTTTGTACTACTGTCAGCTATTTTGCTACGACAACATTTTCCCTGCCCTTTTCTGAAGTTTTTTCTAACAAAATTCCCATTTAAAATATTATATGACAGATATTTTCGATTCTACAGAAAATCTTTGGATATTTAAAGAAATGTGTAGCTGAATCTTTCCATCTATTTTTGTATGAATGTACAGTAGAGTCGTCTGTGTTTGGTAAATCTAGTTATGTGTTTGTATTGTAAGTAGGTGATATTGATGTTTAAAATTTGATTTTACCAAGAGTTGCTTAGTCGACTATTAAATGGTCTCGCTCACACAATATTTGACTGCACGGTTGGCGCGGTGGCTGGGCAACTGGCTGCCGCGCAACGTATCACGGGTTCGATTCCCGCACGGAACAACTCTTTGTATGATCTACAGATTGTTGTTCCGGGTCTGGGTGTGATGTGCATGTGAAATTGTATGTTTGTAAACACACCCACGACACAGGAGAAAATTCTAGTGTTGGGCAACGTTATATCTAAAAAAAAAAAAAAATTCTATGTCCGACACGTTAGTACTTTTCTATAAGTACTTAATAATCTCTTCATAGCTTAGAACCATCTGATAAACAAGACATTTGGCTGTTGGTAAAATCAAATTGTCATTAACTTTCATGAGGTTATCTTGTTTACCTATATAGGTTTACGATTTTAATCGGGTTTTCATTTCGTTAAATAAAAACGAGACAAATCAACTTTTAAGCTTAAGGATTGTTAAAATACTTAAGTTATTACTCCATCAGAAATGAAAACCGTTAAAAACCGTTTAAGCAACGATAAACAACGTTAACTTGTTAGTTATTATATAAGTTATTCAAAACTATAACGTTAAAGACAGCCTGCATTCCACTCGTTACCAATGAATACATGACACTTAGTGTTTAGCTTCGATTTATTTACATTTGTTAATAACTGTTTTATCGTTGCAAACGATATAAAATACAATTAATTAATGGTTGGTCTTTGTATGTACTGCTTTTTGCTGTTTCGTCGTTTTCTGTTTTAATATTCTTGACCCTAAAATAGAAAACATCATTTTAAAATATATGAGTATATACAATATATGAGTAATAATTATGTATGTTATATCATAGACACCGAAATTTTTCTAATATTTTTCTTTATACTTTGCATAAAGTTCAACCCATAAATATATGTTTATATGTATGAAATGTTTATACTAGACATCGGTGAAACAGACTAGTATTATATGAGTTACTAAGTGATTCTCTAAAGCAATTTAATTTAATAAACTAGTTATTTTAATAGTTACGTTATAACTATGTATTTAAAAATAATTTATGTATCGACCACTGCAGAGGGAAAGTCATTCGATTGTGGCCAAATATTAGCTGTAAGCTATAGCGATTATCGTAAGATATTTTACTGAGTAAATTATAATATTTAACCACATTTATGTACGTAGAAGTAATGGTCATAATAGTCTCTAGTCCGCACTTTATCATTAGTCAGTTATATTTGATTATTAGAATAAAATTCAATGTTATTATTGTGGGACAGTAATGAGCATATCTGACAAAAAAGTTACAACGTCGCTCTATAACGTTGACAAAAATAACTTATTCTGTTATAGTTATCGTTATAATTACGTATTGTCGCACTAAGTCTTGTATTATTAAAAGTCATACCAAATATTATAATGTAAGTACAAACTATTTATTGATGTCGGCTCAGGATTCCCTGTTTTTATTTAATAATATGGATGTTATTTTAAATAAATATTTGTGTGAAAACTGCTTTTTAATTAGTAAGGAATTTAAATAACGACACTTTTTTGTTTATTTCAGTTTTTTTATTTATAAAAATTATCTCTTGCATAAACTTAAGGATTACGATTTGGTACAAAAATTCATATCTCTTTGTATGTATAGAGCTGAGTCTCTATCACCTCACAGCCAAGTACACTTTTATACTACTAAACAAAAATAAAAGAATCTTTACATTAAAACTATAGTTTAAACAAAAACAACCTTTAAAGAAATAACAATAAAGTAGTGTTTGGTATCAAAATACCTACTTAGGACTTATCGTCTGTCAGTCAGTCTTATTGAATAAATATATACGTAATAACTTAAGCGTGTTCTCAATGGAATGTATTAACTTTACATGCTGGAAACCATGAGTATCCTAATTGTGTCGAGGAACTAGAGAATCAATGGATACTTGTCAATCGTTATTGGACCTTAGTCCTTTGGTAAGAAGTAACAATATCAATTGATGAAGCCTCATTAAACTATCTATGAACTATTAATTAAGGACTAAATTTATAGCTACTTCTCCTATAGGAATGTTACATATCAGTGCGTAACACTCAACAGTTATAATTACATTAATCTACTCACAAGGCATGGCACAAACCGTACGAACCGTAGTCTTTGTGTAACTTATCGCAACCTAGATATGTTTCAAGACTCCCCCTTAAAGCTTTCTTTTATACACACTTAGATTTTTTTAACGATATTCAATCCCCTTTCGCAACTAGTTACCAACCAGAAAAATAACGTCAATAACGGTTTTTAACAACCGTTATTGTATGCCCAACACTTTTCAAGACATAGACAATTTGTTTGGTATGGTATGCAAAAATTGTTGAAATTCAATGGAACTAAAAAAATTACAGATAGATAATATTATCACACACTTTTATCTGTCTATCTTTATTAAAAGTACCACATAAGCAACTTTTTAGTGTTGTATTGAAGAAATATTTCATAACCTATGGCACGAGTCTAATTGTCCAGGAAACAGATAAATAATTGGCGCCATAATCGCGTGAAAGAAAAAAAAACAAAACAAAATGTCTTATTCCGAATTCGAATTTCAAAATTCAAGCACCGTCAAAGAATTCTCTTTGCTATTTATAAGGCGAATGGAGGCTATACCATGCCGTTGCCGACATGATTGTTGTTAATAGTGTTCCAATGTTTCTGTGATCCATTTTGTGCATTGTACGAGTCCCGTCGGCCATTACGCTCGCTTCCCATCGAGTTCCTGGCCCTGGCCAGCGTTGCTGCTGAAATCTCCATTGATTCACCATAAGGGAGTCTTGAACCACGTCGCATACTGCCACTTCTACATCGAACGTTCTGGAATAGGAAAGTTATGTTATGTATTTTTTTATTTACCTATATATTATCATTATATTAAAACACATGCACGATTTAATGTAATTAATTTTTTGCAAACGTGTAACTAGGTATATTTATAACACGTATAAACTGCTCGACTAAAGAATATTTCGAACACATTTTTCTTCAAGTTTTTTGGAATATTGCGTAAAACTTCTATGATTTATTACCTACTTGTAAGTTTTTTATAGAAACGTGCTCTTAAGTTTAGATTATAATTATGATTTTGGTCTCCTCTTTTAGGCATATATAAGCACTGATAGATTATGCATGCAAAAAGCGTGATTAATGGATTGATTTGCATTCTGCACTACAAATGATTTAAGTGTACATTGTATAGCTACTTTGAATTGATTCTAATAATCAACAATATTAATTTTGGAAAAAGAAAAAGTTGGCACGCTGTTAGGATTCTGTCGTGTGGCGTCACACCCATCAGAGCCGGTAAAACAATATCTGGATCACAAAAATTGTTTTTCCGTGCGGGCAACGAATCCTCGACATTTTGTACACTAGTCTGTTGCCTAGCAACCTTGTAGGTACCCTTGAAACTCTTTGTTGTAAATCTTTTGGTGTGCAGTAAACAAAATGGCTTAAGCCTTAAAGTCACATATAGCGTCTGCACAGCTAGGAGAAGCCTAGTCGCCGAAAACCACTTAAAAATTATTGATGCCACATGCTTCATGCCATACAACATAGATACATATAAAGTATAAATATGGCCCCCGAACTTACAAAATAACTCACCCGTCCGGCGCGCCACGACCACCGGTTCCGGTTAAACACACCGTACACTATCGGGTTGGCGCACGAGTTCGTGCACGAGAACAGCCACATAGCTTTCTGGATCGCTGGATCCAAACTCTTTAGAGATTCTTTGTCGATCCAGTACCTGGAACAGGGGAAAATAAGAAGTAACTATTATATGTTATGGTAGGTTTTTTGTTGAGAAAGACGTTGCTCTCGAGACTAGTCTTTCTGCCAGGTTCGTTGATGCGTTTACTAACCCAGACACCCAGACTCGTACAGCAAATTATACAGAGTACAGCTTTGTATGGGAATCACAGGAGCCAGTGGCCCAGGTAAGACGATAACTGTGTATGCAGTATTTAGAAATGCATACGTTTTTATGTGATGATAAAAACTTTGATATTCGTCTTTGGAAAGTTACAATTACCTACTTATGTACAAGCCAAGTATTTTAGTGATAAATGTTTTGGATGTACATACAGTATCGTACTTTGTCATTAAAATTAATAAAAAACAGTGTTTTACCGCTTGAAGTTTAAATTTGTTTTGTAAACATATTGACAAACTTAATCCCTTTATCTAATTTTATGAATTTGCCACTATATTTTTATTTGGATTTTTATTAAACGTTGCCCCTTACTAAGATTTTCTCCTGCGTCGTGGGTGTGGGTACAAACATACAATTTCACATACACATGACAATTGGACCTGGAACAACAATTTGTGAATCACACAAAGAGTTGTTCCGTGCGGGAATCGAACCCGCGACACGTTGCACGGCAGCCAATTACCCAGCCACCGCCACACCAACCATGCAGTCAAAACTTTATGTACTTTGTGTATGTAATTTATTCAATTTTTAAATGTTTACTCACCATAAACAATAACAGTAGTAGGGTGACCAACAAGTAAAAAAGACTAGAACTATAGTGACTGTCATCTTGAGTGTGCGAGCTCGCGCCCGCCCGAGTATACCCACGCCACTCCGACGCATCTTATCTGAAAATATAATTGAAGAGTATTAGATAATCTCGATTAGACTTCGCTAGTTGGCACTACTATTATAAATATAATCTATGAATATAATTGATGTAATGTGTATAAGTGTGAGAGAGCTATGCTTCGGATGGGCCGGCTCGACCGGAGTGATACCACGGCCTCACAGAAAGCCGGCGTGAAACAACACTCACGTTGTGTTTCGCCGTCTGAATGAGGTTACCTGAGGCCCAATTCTTCACCCTCCCCCCATTTTCCCATTCAACTAATTTGGATACTACTGACATAAAAAAACGTATGTAATATATGAGTTAAAAATTAATTATAATATTATTGTGTTTGTGCGGGCGATAGCGGCCCGATGCTGCAGTGTATGACAAATGCAAGGCGCACCGAGCAACGTTCCGCATGTGTTTAAATTCATCGAGAAGGAAGGTCTACCACTACTTTTAAATATAGAACATACGTTTCCTTACCATTAGAAGTATTAGCTCTCCGAATGATCTCCAGCAGCGCTGCTGAGGAGCAGTACAACGTGGACAGCAGCGGTATGACGTACATGAGGATCATGTTCACCAAGAAGTACGCGAACTCGTGGCACTCCGTCGGTAACGAACCATAAGACACGCACTGGTAGTATCTGCAATTGAAATGAGTTTTACAATTAATTATTTATTTATCATGTATAGGCTAGAAATTAAAAATAATTATATTGCATGATCATTTTAATTCGTGGTACTAAAGAGGTCAAGATATCGGTGCTTAGAAGTGTTAAAAAATATCACTTTTCTTCAGTGTCCCGTCCTTTAAAAAGAAGAAGTCACGTTTCGGCTTTCGGCTCGATCAGGGACCACGGACTTACAGAAAAGAGGCGTGAAACAAATACAGTGTTTTGTTTCGCCGAGTGAGTGAGGGTACCAGAGATCAATTCCTTTCCCCTCTGCAAAACCCTAAACCTGCAAAACCCTTTATCCAAAAAGGCCGCCAATGCATTTGTAACTTTTTTGGTATTGTGGGTGTACATGGGCGGCGATAATTGCTTACCATCATGTAGATACTCCGCACGTGTGCTACAAAATCTCATGTAAAAGTGCCATGCCTAGCATTTCATCTTATAATCAGAAATATTTGTCGACCAATATGTTTCTACCAAAAAGTTTTATTATATAAACGATACGATGAATAAAGTAAATGCACTTAAAACGATGATGTCATTTTCTTTCAGATAACACTATCAAGAAATTCAGACACAAAAACAATTATCATAATATGATCGGGAAATCATTACCATATTAAACTACCGTAATTAATATGTAAACAAGTAATGTATGTAATAAAAATGTACATAAAATATACACTTTGGCTTCTGTAATTAACGACAGACTGCCATTAATGGCTTATACATGAGTATTCATATTTAGCTAGCTATTGCCACGCGGTATCACCCGCTTTTTTTTGTGAGGGGAAAATCATCAAATGGCTTCTCCCGCCCAGAGCGGGGTGGGAGGGAGTGTCAGACTCTTACTGACTAAAATCCCCCCCGTTCCTTCGCCTGCTCTGGGCCGAGGTCGCGGTGACTCATTGCGCTTACCCCACAATCCCGTACATCCGCTGCTTGGCATCCATGTTCATTGATATTGGCGTTCATAGTCTATATCCTTCTTTGATAAATACAGTCTTTCCAACACAAAAAATGTTAAATTCGAACTAGTTGTTCCGGAGACAAGTGCATTCAATCAAACTTTTTAGCAAATCCTTGTTCATTTAAGTGCTATTGTACTAGTAGCAATTAGCTTTACTGACCAATACTTTTTAAGATTTATAAGGATTTATTGTTATTTATTAGGAATACTATGTGTACTCAGAGCCTGTTACACGCTCCTTAAAAAGTTCTCGATTAAATTAATCATCAGTATTAATAAATTGGTAAGGTCAAAGTATAAAACAGTAACGTATCATATAGATACAATATTTATTACATAAGTACTATTTGTAAAAAAAATTATGAAAAAAAAACACATAATTAATCGTAATTTTCCGCCCGCCCGAGTATGTATGCAGGTACATATGCTTGTTGCTCCTTCACATAAAACTACTTAATGGTTTTTTTTAAATAAAACACGTTGCCGCACAGTACGATTTTCTCCTGTGTCGTGGGTAACAACAAACATATAAATTCACATACACATCACACCCAGACCCGGAACAACAATTTGTGGATCACACAAAGAGTTGTTCCGTGCGGGAATTGAACCCGCAACACGTTGCGCGGCAGCCAGTTGCCCAGCCACCGCACCAACAGTGCAGTCTAAGTAAAAAGTAAGTCTAGTTTGATGAAACTTGGTATACCGATAGACAGGAGTGGTCTAGAATTTCACGTATTGACTATTTTTACCCGGGTAGCACAGGTGAAGCCACTGGAAGAGGTTAGTATATTATTGTATAGTTATATTAGTAAGTATGTCAGTACATATCGGCCCCAATAACCGGATCACATCAATCCGACTTTACGACCGGCGTCGGCTGGTCAAGTACTCGACTTACTTTAGAAAAGTAATGAAATCTGTGGATATGCTGATTGCTGTCGTAAATGTAGATTTTATTGTATCAGTGCTGTAGGTTTTAGAACATAGCTAAAAGCTTGCCCATTTCTAAGAATTGTTTTAAAAGGAATGCAATAATTACTTATGTAAAAGCAAAATATGTTTCTATTCTATGTAATCCCTAAATAATATAAAACAAAGTCGTTTTCTTTGTCTCTATGTCTATGTGTATGCTTAAATCTTTAAAACTACGCAATGGACTTTGATGCTATTTGTTTAATATATAGAGTGATTGAGGAGGTAGTTTTATATGCATAATAACCTACATTAAAAGGTGGAGAAATTTAGTATCAGCGTTGCAACCGTGCGAAGCCGGAGCGTGTCGCTAGCTTTAACAAAAACATACAGATTCAGAAGTTATATCACAGAACTATTTCGGTGATTCATTGAGATACTCTATAATCTTTTCGAACGTTTCCGTTCTCGTTTAACAAATAGAAACTCTACTGAAAAGATTTAAAGCTGGTTTCGGAATAATCATAATAAATAAATTCATAAAATATGACAAAATATCCGACTGTACAGAAGATTAAACTCTAAATGTTAAACAATAAAGTCACATTTGTAACACAACATGAATACCATTTAAATCAACTATTGTAAAATATACATTTGTAACACATGATTCATAAACTTATACATGAAACTGGGATCCGATTGAGAAATACTAAGAATCCTATCATCACCCGTTAGATCTAGCATCGTTTACAATAATCTAGACTAGATTACAGGATGAAACATAATCGAGAATGTGGAACAATTGTAGAATTGATGCCAGCATTTCATCGCATTCCTGTTCGCTGGCTCATGTTTACGCGGCATTGGATCAAAGGGTATTGTGAATTCCTCCTTCAATATTGATATGAATATCTTATAACATTAATAGAATTTCTTGCACGACGTTCTGTATTGTATCGAAGTGAACATTTTTTTTGTGAGTGTAAATAGCGTGCTTGTGTGTAAATGGTGGCCCGGGGGTAAGGGCTTTTCTTTAACTCAAGTTCTATAGTTGTCATCTCATTTAGAAAGAAAATATTTATTTATGGAATAAGTAGGAGGCAAACGAGAACCATGATCGTAAGTAACCAGTGCCACCCATGGATACCCGCGAGACCAGAGGAGTCATAGGCGCATTAACGGCTTATTAAGAAGAAGTACCTAATGCAGATATTTTCGCAACATCGCCCAGTTGTTGACTGTCAAACATCTGGTGGAGACGTAAGTGTTTTTGCAAATTTAGGTATCTTTTAATTTCTATAAAAATAATAATCATATACCTTTATGATTTTAGCAGGATCATATTATAATCATTTCTTGTTACAACGGAAGCCTGATCTAAAATTATACATTACGTAATATTCTGCTTACGTCAATCCTTAAAGGATTTACAAATCAATTGAAATATTTTTCCCTTATTTGATTGGATAATAAATAATTAGGTACCCTTGTTTGTTCATCGTCGTCGAGACTACCTTTCTTTGTAGAAACGCACTTGTCTGTTCATCTGCTATATTCCAATTACATGAGTTCGCGATTAGATTTTTTTTATTTTCCTCTCACAATCTGCCAGATATGTAACATTAAATTACTTGTTCTTCTATTGGTATTTATCTAAGGAATCTTTTGTTGTTATACTACATTTTTGGTTGATTTAGATTGTGGACAAAAATATTATAGAATACATGATAAAGTAATATTGAGTAGGGTTTTATGTAATCGAGAACAGCGTTTTTGTTTAAACATAATGTTAATACATTATTGAAAGAAATAATAATGTAATAATAACATAGCATTTTTATGAAATACTGTAATGAAAAAAATAACTTAGTCATATATTTGTGGTTATATTTATTTATTAAAATATTATATATATTTATTTAAATGTACAATTCGGGTGAAATTATTTTATTTTTCATATGTATTTACTTTAAAATGTTCATTAATAAATATTAATTTAAAAGCAAAAATGTATTGAAAAATATAAAAATAAGAGTCAGCCGGCAGCGGGACATTGTCCAAGATAACGGTGGCTAGAGCTCCAGAGACAGAAACCTCCATACAATACGTGCTGTTTCAAGGAGGACTGCCTCCTGTAAGTACTAGAGAGCCATTCGCCAGCTTCTTAAGTATATCATCATATGGCACGCTTTGTTAATTATTAGGTAAAGCTACCTACCTAACTATTTGTATAAACTTATCTATAATATATAAAATATATTTCTCTCACAAGTTACTTCATTTGAGACCTCAACATGATAGGTTGACCTTATCAAATGTGCTACAAAATCCCAGGACGATTACACTGACCCCAATTCAAATTTAATCCATACAAAATGTACGTATATACTGAGTCGAGTTTCTAATTCCAACTGTATGTACTTATGTGATAAAGTCCATTTTTGATAGGTTTCATCGTTTATGTTTTTTTTGTATTGTGAGGTTTTATCGTTCTATATTAATTATCAATGAATATTAATACGGAGTCAATGTACTGGATCTGGTGAAAGATTTATTAGGTTTTTTAATGTAACCTCTGAAGTGGTCGATTTTCTGAGAGTATACCAGAGTATACATAATACATATAACCATACTTATATACTTTTCGTATCTATTTTAGAAGTCTAATAAGTTGGATCTCATTTGAGAATCATGTACCATAAATAAATCATAAGTTTTCTTTTTCGATGAATTGTAATCTGTGAGGAAAATCCAGTTCATTCTTGTCTTTTAAAATGTAACAACGTTGCCTGTAGGTTTTAGGCGACATCTTTTTTGTTATATTATTTGTTATAGCTTATTGTTTGGCTATTCTCTCTCTGGATCTCTCTCTCTCGCCAGGTAATTAATGGTGATGCGATCTACGAGTATATGGAGTATGGCCACCGATAAGCAACCTATTCACTCGGACCAAAAACAATCCATAAACCGCCATATGTATACTCTTTGGTTGTTCTTTTTATCACAGATAATCGTGAACCATGAACTTTTTTTTTTTGTGAGGGGAAAGTCATCAAATGACTTCTCCCGCCCAGGGTCAGGCGGGAGGGAGTGTCAGACTCTTACTGACTAAAAACCCCCCTGTTCCTACTCCTGCTCTAGGCCGAGGTCGCGGTGCCTCATTGCGCTTACTCCGCAACCCCGGCGTGAACCATGAACTAAAGACATTTATAATAGACAATGTATATATGTTTGTTTCCTTACCCCTTAACATCGGGATGCTCCTCCACGTGGAAAATGAAGCTCTGTGGTAAGCTGGCGAGGCCGGCGCAGACCCACGCGATGATGAGAGCCCTGCGCACGCGCGCCTCCCACGTCACGTTCAAAGGCTTTAAAATGGCATAGTATCTGAAATAAAAAAGAAATATGTATAAACAAATATTCAAAAACTATATTTTTTATAATAACATATATGTATGATTGTTCGGGGGGTCTTCAAGTCATCGCTGACATCACGCTGCGGGGAAGGCGGCGCACGCGCTCTGGGCGCGGGGCCACTCGCTATATAATTCGCACAAGGAACGCACGCGCATCATCATAATTTTTTCTTAAATATTTTTTATGTAAATTCAAGCATTAAACACGTCAAATCTTAAATCTTTATTATTATTTGTTCCACCCGTGAACAATAATGTTACTTCAAAAACTACATTTGTTATTGATAATGGATAATGGTCTAAATTATTAGAGCCTTTTAACTTCCGAGGAAATATGTATATGATTCATTTGTTATATTATTTATAGGGACTAAAGTAAAAACATAAGTAAGTTGGTATTTAAAGGAGGTGCCTTTCATAACTATGCAAATAAATGTCATAGTTTTCTTTTATCGATAAGCTCTCGGAACTCTCACATACATTAGTATGTGTAAGTAGTAGCCAAGATTTTTGTTAAAAGAAGAGGTACTTTTTAGAATAGATCAGGAGGCGAGCATATCGACTACTTGATGGTAAGTAATTGATGCCGCCGACAATGGATACCCGAAACACCAAAGTTGTAACGGGTACGTTTCCGTTTATTAAGACCTCAATCACAAGGCAAAAAACAACGCAAGCGTTTAATGAAAGTAGCAACTTATTCACGCAAATTAACTAAGAAAACTATTATTTTCAAGTCAATATGGCTTAAAACTAATAGAGTCGTCGACGGGACTCTTATTCATGAATAGCATGGGCTCAATCGAATAGCAAGCTTTGGTTCACAACGGTATTCTGTGAGGCCTATTAATGCGCAAGCAATTTTTAACTTTATTTTCATGACAAGAAAACATGAATTGAGATTCAGATTCTACACTATCTGTCTATTCTATTATATCGATAGTCGAGTCGACTTATATATATCATATACCTTTCTACGATTATATAGACACGACGGACATACGGTGAAGGTAAACATTGTGAGGAAACCTGAACTTATAATTTCTTATTATAAGTTTGAAATCGCAAATCCGCCTTAAGCAAGCGTCGAGTAATGCTCTAACCTTCTCCGGATGAGAAGAGGTCTTTGCTCAGCAGTGGGCCCTTAGAAGCTGGTGAAGTATGTGATCTTTGTAATGAGTATTATCTTGTAGATGGTAGTGGTTTTTCGTAAAGAACTTTTAGTGGAATAATAATACCACATTACACATACTTCGAACGCTTGGCTTTGGCAGCTCCTTAATTGCCAAACAACAAAGGGTTAATTCTAATTTAAAGTTAGTCTATTAATTTAGTGAAGTGCTAAACTACATTATCTATTTACACTCTGAGATTGTGAGTTAATGGTGGATAACATGATTGTTGTGTAGACGGTTTTCATTTTATTTACTCAGAAATAAGAAAACTTTTCGCAAAAATTCCTTTAATAGGCTGGGCCTAATGCCATCGGCATTCTTTCTAACCAACAATTAAGTGATAAAGTATGTGGTTAGGAAGATTGATCATTTTTTAATTTGTGAATAGTAATTAGGTATCATATAAATAATATTTTTAATGATAACCTGATGGTAAGCAATCAGCGCCGTCCATGGACACCCGCAATATCAAATAAGTTAAGAGTGCGTGCCGGCTTTTTAGGGATAAGGGTTTCGGATATTTAAGGGTTGGGAAGAGATGGAAGGAGGGGCAGGGATTGGGCCTCCGATAACCACACTCAAACATCGAAATAATAAATATCGCAATCATTCGGAGGTTAAGGTATCCTCTTCGCATGAGGTTTTAAAGCTTGGTAAGTACTTACTGAGTGTGTAAGTTACTCGAGTTATATATGTATAGTATACTTACTAAGTTTATTTGGACACTACTGACACACAAAGGGTGAAAGAAAACATCGTGAGGAAACCTAGTCTTATAATTGCTAATTATAAGTTTGGAAGCGCCAATCCGCCTTGACCAAGCGTGGTGATTAATGCTCAAACCTTTTCCGTTACGAGACAGTGAAAAGAGGCTTTTGAAGTAGAGCACTTGTAGAATGAATTTGGTATAAACCAGTGCAAACTAAAGTTTACAAAAACATAATTCCCTCTTAATAATTATATTTGTGCCTGACTATTATATTAAAAGTACCTAATTAACAAAAAAGAATGAAAATGAAAAAAAAACGTCATTTTAGACAATGACGATATAACCACTCCGATTTGATTTTATTATTTTCTTTTTGGTTAAAAAAAGTTGCTCCACATTGGGATTTTCTCCTGTGTCGTGGGTGCTGTTACAAACATACTTTTTCACATACACACCACACCCAGACCCGGAACAACAGTTTGTGGATCACACAAAGAGTTGTTCCGTGCGGGAATCGAACCCGCGACACGTTGCACGGCAGCCAGTTGCCCAGCCACGGCACCAACCGTGCAGTCATTTCATTAGATGATGATGACTAATTAATTATTATTAGACATAATTATTATGTAGGTATTGTAAGTAGATTCTATTCAAGAGATTGATTTTTTCGGATTCGGAGAGAAAAAAGAGATTCATAAAAACTACTACATACGTTGGTATCTACCAAAGTACCTACCCACAACTATTAATTTGACCGATGTTTCTACATATAGATACTTATATACTTATATACTTATATATGTACCTGTGGTATATCGGCCACCTGATTGATGGATCTCGTTCGATGACCCGACACACCACTCAGGTATATACATATGTATGTTTATATGTTGTACGTTATTAATTTCGCGAATCGAGTGCGCAGTTCGTAATGTTTGACGCGCATTTTCTTGTACGAATGAAGGCCACGAAATAGATTGGTGCGATGGTATCTATCTTCTTAGTTTGTTACAATATTAATGTTTGATAATCATAAAATAAAATAAAAATTGCTTTATTGATACTTAAAATCTTTTTTACATTTTCTCTGTTGACAAATTATAACAATAAGTCTTAAGCTATATGAGGATTTAAAATAGGTCAGAAATACAATATAGTTGTTTACCTACAGGTGACATTAATATTGTGATAAATAAAATCGTTTAAAAAGATATAAAATTAGGTTATAATCTTAGGTTAGGTTAGGGATTGGGGGAGAGGAAGGATTGGGCCTCCAGCAAAACACAACATTGTATTTGTTTTACGCTGGGTTTCTGTGAGGCCGTGGTAGCACTTCGGTCGATGCGACTCATTCGTGCCAAAGCATGGCTGTCCCACACTTGTTGAAGATTTGTTTGTCCTTTAAGATCTGTAGTTTGAACTTGAAATGTAGGCAGAATAATCTACGTTTGCGTAAAATGGCAGTGTAGGTAATTCTCTGGCTACAGGATCTGTTGTGGTGTCCCAAAGGATCCTCATCCATAAAGATTCGAAACCTGCCAAGTACGTGTATGTGTTTTATTTAAGTACTTGCTTTTTAATTTTACTACTCAGACCTTGCCAAACGATAAGGGACATAACATCGTCAGGAAACTTGGACATACTAGGTATTTCTAATTTTAAGTTTGGAATTGTCAATCCGCCTTGAGGGAGCGTGGTGATTATTGCTCAGCAGTGGGCTCTTATAGGCTTGGTGATGACAAAGATACAGATTATAACAGATTCTTTATCTATCTTTTAGATTAGGAACTATTTTTACTTATTAATCTTCGTAACCAAAGTACTCAATCATAATAATGAACAAAACCTACAAAAGTAACAGACCATTTGTTTACGTTCACTGAATATTCAACTTTAACTAATTGGACATAAAGTTGAAAAGTCTCTGTGGAAATATTTCAAAGAAATATCGACTTTATTAAGTAATATTCTTGTTTTGGCAGCTAAACATCATTTGTTTCGTTTTAAGTACTGGTGTAATTAATATTTTAAACAATATCTTGATTAAATTGTAGGTAACAAAGAGGCTACATACAAATTTCTTTGTCTGAGTGTAATCTCTTGATTCCAGGTGGTTCTGAGAATTTTACTAATAATAACTTAGTACGAAAGCTCTCATTCAAAAGTATGTTTCATTTCAGAAGGGAAAATTATGGAAGTAATATCTCGCCCAGGATATGGCGACTTGGAGTGTCAGACTCTTTCTGATTAAAAACACCCCCGTTCCTTCTCCTGCTCTGGGCCGAGGCCGCGGTGACTCATTGCTCTTAACCCGCAACCCCGGCTGAACATCAGCCCTATAGGGGGTGGTCTATTGACTCTTTGAGGCACGCGCGGAACGCTACGCGCCGTCCGCTCGGGTCTGGATCTGGTCTAGGAATTATTAAAGCTAACTAGCTTAGTTATTCAGCTTCTACATACGACATAATATATGATTACTTTTTTATACATTTTCTCAAAGGAGTTTGTATACCTACGCGATAAGCACCAGTCACACACAGCTTACTCGTATGAAATAAATTAAAGCCGGCAATAATTTCGATTTAAATAAAGAACACTGTTTTCTGTCCTTGTCATCGTGATGTCGTTGTTGTGTCTTTAGTTTTTATTTTGTAATGTTCTAAAGGCAGCAATAATTTGAATTTAGAAAGAGAACACGATATAATTATTTCCTTGTCGTTTCGGGAGTGACGTCATTGACGTGTCATTTGTTTTTATTTAGCTAATTATTTGCCGAGTGACTAATAACTTAAAAGTCGACTAAATGTCTGCAACAAATAAAATAACTTGCCAGCCATTAAATATTTTCGCGACTATTATATTATGTAAGGTTCAAAATTAAGGGTGTTATAAAAACTGAAAACTAGCAGCTGCGTTTGGGTGGCAAATAAACTATACCAGTCAATTGAAATATTAGGCGAGGAGCTATATATAATGACTTGGCGACTAATAATGTTAGTAGGGTGGCAAAGATAATATATTACCAACTATTTCGTGCCGTCTAAAAACCCAGTTTCAGGCTTCGCTTTGCGGACAGCTCTAAATGTTAAAAGAAGTACAATAAAAAGGAATAAGCGTTAATTATTAATATTTTTTTATTATAATTTCGTGAAAACGGCGGAAGATGCGATGGTTGGATACGAGTGTAGTGCGGGGTGGCGGGGTGCGTGTGGGTGCATATAACGAAACATGGCATACATTTGATGAGTACAAAGAAAAAAACTTTGCGTTCTGGAAAGTTGTACTATCAAAAACAGAATGGAAGAAAGGCATGTGCAACTGCCCTCAATTTTTAAAAATATATGTGTTAACATATTATAGGCCTTGCCATAAGGTTGAAACTAGCCACTCCGTCTTTAGAGGCCAAATTGATTCCAATTGGTCAAAAAAGAAAGCGAGGGCGTCCTGCCAAATCTAAACCTGCCCTAATAATACAGTTTTTTTTTCATTGTGTCTACCTGCGTAACTTTTAATTGTGTAACTTTAATACTTAGGTATAACTACTGTCTTCTGTGATTTTTTAAAAAATGAATAAAAGAAATTACTCTTTTTTATATTTTTAATTTATTCACCTATAATTTTGAAAATAAAAGCCCCAAAATATTTTTTCTTCATGCCATTTTACAGTTTATTTAAAGCTATTAAAAAGTCGCACAATATATGTTTAATATAAGCTAGTTTATATTTATTCTTTATACAAATAATTTTAGATAGAATCTGATTTGTATTATTTATAAATGCCCATTTTCTATTTTATTTTCATCATTAAGTTTTGGCGTAGATATTAATTCAGTTCCCAAAAGAAAAACTTGATGCTAGTTTAATATAAAACGGAGCTTATAACTGATATATTAATATGCTACCTTTTACTTCTTACGATACTTCTTATTAGCTGCCAACCCATTATAAATGGTACCCATTCTATTATTTTTTAGAACCTATATTCATTTTACTTTTAGTCGCTGCATTAAATACATGCCTTTTTATTTTATAATGTTGTAAAGGCGGCAATAATTTGGATTTAGAAAGAGAACACGACATAAGTTTCTCCTTGTCATTTCGGGCGTGACGTCATTGACGTGTCATTTGTTTTTATTTTATAATGTTCTAAAGGCGGCAATAATTTGGATTTAGAAAGAGAACACGATATAATTATCTCCTTGTCATTTCGGGCGTGACGTCATTGACGTGTCATTTGTTTTTATTTTATAATGTTCTAAAGGCGGCAATAATTTGGATTTAGAAAGAGAACACGATATAATTATCTCCTTGTCATTTCGGGCGTGACGTCATTGACGTGTCATTTGTTTTTATTTTATAATGTTCTAAAGGCGGCAATAATTTGGATTTAGAAAGAGAACACGATATAATTATCTCCTTGTCATTTCGGGCGTGACGTCATTGACGTGTCATTTGTTTTTATTTTATAATGTTCTAAAGGCGGCAATAATTTGGATTTAGAAAGAGAACACGATATAATTATCTCCTTGTCATTTCGGGCGTGACGTCATTGACGTGTCATTTGTTTTTATTTTATAATGTTCTAAAGGCGGCAATAATTTGGATTTAGAAAGAGAACACGACATAAGTTTCTCCTTGTCATTTCGGGCGTGACGTCATTGACGTGTCATTTGTTTTTATTTTATAATGTTCTAAAGGCGGCAATAATTTGGATTTAGAAAGAGAACACGACATAAGTTTCTCCTTGTCATTTCGGGCGTGACGTCATTGACGTGTCATTTGTTTTTATTTTATAATGTTCTAAAGGCGGCAATAATTTGGATTTAGAAAGAGAACACGATATAATTATCTCCTTGTCATTTCGGGCGTGACGTCATTGACGTGTCATTTGTTTTTTTATAATGTTCTAAAGTCGGCAAAAATTTGGTTTTTGATAAAGAACACTGTATGTTTCTGTCCTTGTCATTTTGGGTCTCACGTCAGTGATGTGTAATTTGTTTTTATTTTGGGTACTTATAATGTTCTAGAGGCGGCAAATAGATAACGAGATTTCATTCTCCATTTGAAAGATGCAATTTTTTTTTTCGAAATAATCGTATAATCGTATAATCATCTCTTACATACCAATATTTGTGACAATAGTGAAATGTATCCATTGTTCAGCCTTGAGTCTAGAAATATCTTATTCATTTTATTTCTGTATATTTTTAACAAAGATTCGTAACCCGTATATTAATTTTCTGAGCTAAAACATTATAAAACGAACAATCAAATAATAAGTTTGTAAAATTTGACAATTAAAATGTATGAATACATTTCATTCGTGTCAAAATTGATGGGTAATTCATTATTTGCAGTCTTCGTTATTGCTAGGTAAGTATGAAAAAAGCTTTTTAAGAAAGAACTATTTTATACACTCATTAGAAAACGCGGAAAAAGCAACCGAGTTGACTGGCCTACCGTGACGAGAAAGAGGGATGGAGCTATAAAAGGTGTATAGCTCCATCCCTCTTTCTCGCCTCTCGCCTCATGGTAGGCCTACAGTTTGTAATATGTCTCTTTCTATCATTTAGCATGGCAGACAACAGTAAAGTATTAAAAGGATTCAAACTATTTTACTTCCCATCCTAAAACATAATTCAAAATACCTTGTAGTACATTTTATTGAAGAATAAGTTCAAGTGTTCACATCCGACCGGATCCTTGAGTCTTGTGCCTCTCGAGCTCAAAGCGGAGTCAAACTCGAAAAATTACAAAGCAGGATGGGAATCTGTGACGTGGACGTTATTTAAGTCGAGGGCTGTTATATATTTCTACATCAGGTGTTTTGGTATAAGCTGTGTATCTTATATTAGCAAGGCGGCCTTGGCTTGGAACAGGAGAATGAACGGGCTGGTTTTTGGTCAGGAAGTGACAGTGCCTCAAGTCATTCGATGATTTTACCCTCAAAAGAATAGCAATAAGAAAAAAATGCTAGTAAGCATTTTTATGATTGAAGTTATTGACAAATATTTTTTTTTATAATAGCTTTCAAGTATGTTTGGATAGTCTCAAAAGTTTCAAGTCTCGCGATATCGCCGCGATGCGGATGCTACTCATGAATAAGAGTCCTGTAATAACTGAAAAATAGTAGATCTTTTCTCAGTAAATTCACACGAGCTTTGTTATTTTGAATAAATTAGGTAGTATTAGGTAGGGTTAGGTATTATTATTGAATATAAAAACAGTAGTATGGGTACATTACTGAAAATAATGTGTGCATTTTGAAGGGAAAAACCTGATAATCTTACGTTCCTACACCAATTCGCTTTGAGCAAGTAAGCAGGTCTTCTAAGAGATGTTCCCAGTTTTACTTTTTTAAGAATAAGAGATGAGACTCACCTATCAACTGCTATACAGATAAGCACGAAGCTGGAGAGGTAGAGGCCGAAGGTCCTGGTGAACATCATGACGCGACACATGAGGTCTCCGGCCAGCCACTGCACGGTGCCCGCCCACGCGATCTCCAGCGGCATCATCAGGAATGTCACCTGCAACAATACTGCTAACCGTTTCATTCGCTGTTTGGACTCTGAATAAGGTAGTTGAGACAAAAAGGAACCTTTTTTATACATTGTCAAGGTTGAAAATGTCATAAAGGATATTATAGTCATAAAGATAGATAGAACTTTATACAGAAATGTAATATTTGCATTTGGCTTATTCCTATTAGGTAGTCATCGGATTCAAAACAAAATCAAAGTGAAATCTTTTCTTACAAATAGACATCTACAGGCACAACTACCTTTAATTTAAACCTTGTCATTTGATTATTAACATTAAAATAAGTTAAATTTAACTTGTAGTATACCTGTCTACAAAAACTTTACTTTGTACATAATTGACTGCACGGTTGGCGCGGTGGCTGGGCAACTGGCTGGCGCGCAACGTGTCGCGGGTTCGATTTCCGCACGGAACAACTCTTTGTGTGATCCACAGATTATTGTTCCGGGTCTGGGTGTGATATGCATGTGGAATTATATGTTTGTAAACGCACCGACGACACAGGAGAAAATCCTAATGTGGGGCTACGTTTTATAAAAAAACAAAAACAAAACAATTTGAATTTGCTTTCATTACGTTGATGTATTTCAACTGGAATTTTATTGTAACATTTAATACAGAATCCCATGCACAACTTGTATACTTTTGCCAATATAAATAAAGGCTAAATTAATCTAACCCCATGTCTAGATTTAAGTTTGCAATTAGTAATTACTCACTTATACAAGTAATTTAGAATCAAAGTTTCAAAGGTAAGGCGAAACACGTGACCATAGCTACGACTGGCTACGGGGACCTACTACGGCGTAGCGTAAACAAAAACGTGCTACGCCACATGGTGTCTAGTTTTTGTAATCTTTTGTGACTTGACATGATCGAAGTTCAGTTCAGCTGTGAACTGATTGAAATACGGGCTGGTAATGTTTTTATTCAGATTGATAAACAGAGTATAAAAACTTGTGTTTTTTTGGATTTTATGACACTTAAGAGAGTCATGCTTCGACACTCAAAAGATACTGTTACGTGCCTGACGTCACGTTCCTGACTATGCGGGCTTGGGTTACGGGATTGGATGAAATTAAACACTAATACCGGTTTTCAGACTTTTATTGCACTTAAATGACAGCGTCCACCGAGTTAAGTTTTCGGCGTTCTCTCCAGCAGAGTCCTGGCGACTGACACAAACTTCCGTTTGCCGCTCACAGTTCACGCTGACTTTCACTTAACTCACTGCACTTCACTATTTCACTGCACTTTACTATTTCACTCACTTTTCTTCTTTTTCACTTCTTCCTTTTCTTCTGAATCGCTTTGGACTTAGAACTCAACTGCCAGCGGTGAGCCGCAGTTCCGCTTATATACCCCCGGTCAGGTTCTGGAACATTCAATTTCGTTATTCTTTTTAATCGTCATGCCTCCAGAACCTTCCAATAATTTCGTTATTCATTTTTATTTATTCTCCTTCTCGCTCTTTAATTTTTCATTTCTGTCACACAAATAATTCCAGAAAGTTCGACAAAACTTCCATCAACTAAAAAACTTCATGTTTACGGCGGGACTCGAACTCGGGGTCTCTGTGGTGTAATCCACACGCCTTACTGATTACACCAACTCGTGTTGACAATTCACGACGAAATTTACAATCTCTAGGCAACGTTTGACAACCATCCATTGACGTCATGATGACAAAGAGTTTGAACCACTTTTCCGTCACAATACCATGGTCTTACAGAAAACCAAACACTTCGCAATAAAATTTTTTTTTGCGCTACGTAGTTGAAGCTATTGCTGTACGCAATCCTACCCCTGACCCCTAATCCTTTAATTGCAATAAAACCTGCCCCAAAATAATCCTAATTTCAATCATTTTTACCTTGCCAAGCCTTCAAGGATTACTGATTTTTATTCAAAGACCAAGATAATGTTTGTTAAATGAGTTTTTTATCTGTCTTTTTTTATTACGTCTAGCTAATCTTTGCAGTCTTTTGTGTTGGGTATAACTTTTGGAGAGTTCACATTTTCTATTATTGCAATTAAACTGGTTGTTCATGTGTCTTATATTAAAGATGGTAAAACTAAGTCATTTTTATAAAAGTTTATTTAAATCATCTACTACAGAACGGCGCACTTGCTTGTTGGTTACTTATCATTTGTGTTTATGATATTTATGTTGCTTATCATATGATATGTTTATAGCCGATTATCTGCGCAATACACAATTTTGTTCCTAAAAGATCCATTGCGCAGACAAACGGCTAACTTCAGACTCGCCAAGATACGATGGCGCTAACGTACCAATATTAAATATTTATACTTTATAACACAAATGATAAGCAAAGGTACTCCAGGATAACTAAATGGCATATGGCATTCTATTAATAATAAAACAAAATGTTTAATAAAGCATCAATAAATTCATTGGTAATCTTAATCTGAAACAATGAATTTATTTCTGTTAATAAGCCATAAAAAAGTACTCTTACACGTCAACCTTATATTTATTATAAAAACCAGATGAAGTTGGCATTTCCCATCTGACCACTCTGAGAAGAAATGTCGAAACTGGTCAGTCCCTATAAAAGTCTCATCATGCAAATTCATTCTGTAGTGGTCTTTTGAGGAAAGACCCACATCAGTTGACGTGGGCTCGTTCTAACAAGCGTGAACCCGTTCTAAAGACAGACATGTAACAAGTGATTCCTCATACAAAAATTAAAAACATCTTACCATAAGATCGGCAACTGCTAAATGCATCAAGAGTACGTCAAGTCTGCTGGCTCTCCCCGCCCGTTTCCTCTTCATCAATTGTGAAAGTACTGTCAAGTTGCCAGTTGCTGAGATCAGCATCAGTACACTATACACTGTCATGGAAACCATGTGGCCATGGTTGAACCTCATGTCCAGAGGTAACTCATCGCTGGCATTTGGGTGCGACCAGTTCTTTTGCGAGGCCCCGCCGGGCCCCGAAACCTTCTCATCTATATCCATCGTTGGACCCACTCTATTTACTCAGGAGACACCTGCCTGGAGTCATTTTTGTACTTTATTACTTTTTCTGAAACAAAAGAAAAGGAAAAATAAGTGACATTGTACAATTTATTTATTTTAGCTTTGTAATGTTTACTGAAAAACTTTAAGAACTGTATCAACAACTCATTAAATTACGAGGTTCTTTTTTAATTAAAGTCTTTTTTTAAACAAGGAAAGATGTCGTTATGCTTGTTTAGCTTACGCGAAAGTAAACACTTAGTACCGAAGTGGATATACCTTGCAGCATACATACGTATAATGTTTGCATTGCAACTTATGTATTCAGTTTGAAGTGAATAAATATTTGTACAAATTCCTTTGATTCTTTCAGAATAGTAGCATGTTGCATATTTCAGATATATCCAAGTATATATGACTTTGTCCTGTTTGTCATATCCAAGAAACATTTTGGCTACTGTATGTATTTAAGAACCATTTTATGTAAGCTATTTTTGTTCATGCCCCTACGACGTAGCAACCGTAGCCTACTCCAAAGCTACGCCGCGTCAAGTGGATACTCGCTACGGCGTAGGCTGTTCTAAAACTACGCCACGCCAAGTGGATAATAAAATTGTATATTTATTAACCCAGACAATAGAATGATCCCAATGCGACTATCGGTCAAAATAAGTATAGATGGGTACCTTTCGTTATCAAAAACCTTATTTGGTAATTACACTCTAACTGTAAATGACAATAGAGTCACCATCTATGTATTATATGAGGTTCATAACATAAGTAGTGAAAAATGCATATTACAGTGCTTGTGCTACTCAGTTTACCACTTCGGGAATTAAAAGGTTCATTGAAAATAATGACTTACTCTTAGTCCGAGTTACTGTGTAGTTCTACTCGATTATTAAATTTCCAACTAAATATTCTTTTTTTTTGTTTTATAACTACCTACATACAATTTATTATTATATTCAACTGACATGAAAAAGCTTTCAGACACAATTCTCAACTAAGACATATTTTTTTCGTCTAAGTAATCCGAGACTGGTAAAAGTATTTATTTAAAAAAGGGACCTTGAAATAGCTTATTAAGATGTAAACAGAGGAATTTTTTGAAGCGTAAAACATGGACAAGGCAGTCAGATTAATTAGTTTTATAAAACAATAGTCTGTACAAATACTGTTCCATTAACGTCATGTCAAAGCTTTTGACGCAGTTAATATAAAAAGTTATTAAAAACACTATTTGTATTTCGTCTAATTAAAAAAAATGTTTTTTTTTTAATAGCAAAGGAACAAATGGATACGATCGACACCCGTTATATGATAGGCGATAAGTACATTGTCGGCTTTTAAGTGTTAAAGATTTATGAACAAGTGATGTGGGCTGAAGAGGGAATCCTAGGATGGGGCTTAATACACAAACACTTTCTAGTCGGTATGAGTTGTTATGCGATATGAGTCTAACGTTCTGACGAATCTCTTAATGGTAAGCGATTAGCGCCGCCCTTGCACACCCGAAACACCAAAGAACTTATGAGTACATTACTGGAGATAGGTAATTGTTTCATAGGTGTTGACAGAGTTGAATAAGACACCACACTGCCCCATGCCTTTAACAAAGTCCGAGCAGTACTAGCCAAGTTCGATAATCGTTATCGCTTTAAAAACGAAACAAATGTGTGTATGTATCAATTTGTAGACCACGTGACTCGTCGACGACCTTCAAAAATCTTTACATTACTTTGGTGTCTAAAGCGGTAACGATTATCGATAGTGAGATTCTTGCATAGTCCCATTACCTTCATATCGTCAAGTTTACTAGGGTAAATTACCACCCTCTTTTATTTATTTAATTTTATTTCTTTATTGCGCACATACAATGAGTAGCAATACGTTAAATACTATAAAATAATGTTGTGATTACAATGGGCGGTCTTATCACAAAAGGCGATTTCTTCCATACAACTTTCAGATGGAAATTTATAAAAGAAACTTCTTTCTTCAATAGGCTCTTAGACCCCAACAGCGAGCCAACAAGGACTATAAGTTTAATACCAAAAAAGTTAGGCAGACCTAATTTTAGTCTAGTCAGAAATGAGCTCCAACTCATTTTCAATTTTGTTGTTTTACAAATAAAAGGATATTTCATTGATATATGCTCTGTTTGGCAAATGATACACCTATTAATTAATAGCTACACAGAATACAATTAAGTTAAACAAAGACAGGATGTAATTGAGTCTAAGTTTACCTGTGAGCCTAATATTTACAAAGTTCAGTCGCTTTGTGTTTTATATGTAGGTGTAGGTATGCGTTTTTGTCTTTTTTTTTGTGAGGGGAAAATCATCAAATGACTTCTCCCGCCCAGGGCCGGGCAGGAAGGAGTGTCAGACTCTTACTGACTAAAAACCCCCCTGTTCCTTCTCCTGCTCTGTGCCGAGTTCGCGGTACCTCATTGCGCTTACCCCGCAACCCCGGCTGAACATCAGCCCTTTAGGGCCCCGTCTGTGGTGGCCGGAGATCGTCCCTCGATCCCCGACGCCCGTAGTTGCGTTTTTGTGTCTATGTATGTACATGGATCGCGGATTAAAATTACTTTTTCTTTTTTTTTAAACTCTCTATTTCTCTTGGGTTACGTTTACAAACAAATAATTTTACATAGATATCACATCCATACAATTTTTGGATCACACAAAGAGTTGGTCCGTGCGGGAGTCGCATCCATGACACGTTGCTCGACAGCCGGTTGCTCAACCACTGTTACCCTACAACGTATATATTTTAACATTTTTTTAAATTAATATGTATTCTATAGTTATTTCCTTCTTGACGATTGTTCAAATGCATGACGTCATGTTATTCCATGACATAGGGTACGTAATAAGCCCTTTTTGCTCTGGGTGGGGTGAGAGAGAGTGACAGAATATTACTGACTAAAACCCATCCCGTTACTTCCGCCATAGGCCGGGGCAGCGGAAAATTATTACGTTTAAAGTTGTAATATTCCCTAATTTCATGTAGTTACAGTGTTTAACTTACTTATTTAGTTTGTTGCATGACCCAAAATACTTCAAAGGTTTTCTTCATTCATTATTTCGTCAACATCTGCTAAGGCTCTACAGAACCCATCGTCTTTGTTATTTTAATAATCTCTTAAAATAACAAACAACTGAACTTATAAATATGGATGGGCTGACCCACTAAGAAAATAATTATTATAAAAAATGTTCAATTAAAAAAGTTTTGCAAAGAATATTTAACGAATTGCGAATTTTTCGTCGCACTCAAAATTAAGCTCTTATTTTTAAAGCTCTGAGGTTGTAAACGCTTTGGCAGCAATTAACGGTTGTCGTGTTTCAGAATAGTTTTCTCACATTTGATCTAAAATTCTTCAATTCTGAATCAAGATTGTTTTTTTTATAATTAATAGACTATCATACAAACTACTTAATGAAATCAGCATATTGTGAGTCTTTTATAATTTTAAAGGGCCGGCTCCACTGGAGTGATACCACTGCTTCATAGAAAACCGCCATGAAAAAATCTTTTCCCTCGCGCCTCATTCCCCAATTCCTAAATCCCAAAAGCCCTTTATCCCTAAAAGAACGTTAACGCACTTGCAACACCTTTGTTATTGCGGGTGACTACAGACGGCGTCGATTGCTTACCATCAGGTAATCCACCTGCTTGTTTATTGCCCTACCTTTTCGTGGGTAGGTGTAAATAAGTGGCAGTCACTAAGTTTATGCAAATTTTTATTTAAATTATTAATTATCATTAATTTGTTTCAAATTTGTTGTCAATTTGTTACTAAGGGGTTGAATAAGGGCCACTAACGTTTGTGTGTATTTATGTAGCTTTATCATTAAGTTACACAACTGCCTGCCGGCTACATCAATTGCACTGAATCAAAGCACTACTTCACTTCACTGTACTTCACAAATATGGCAGAATTTGGTGAGGTGCTCTCTGTGCTGAACACAGTTCAGGATAGTGTAACCAAGAAGATGGCGGCAGTGGAAGCACAGATCCAGAATGCGGGGCCATGTAAGGACACTGTTGCAAAGGTGGCAGAAGAGTTCCGCACTTTCCGGGAGCTTATCTTCAGCATACTCCGTCTGCTTCGGGTCCAGATGAGTGAGAGTGCCAAACAAATTGATCACCTTGAAATGAGGCACCGTCGTAAGGCACTGGTGTTCCAGGGTGTCCCAGAGGCAGATAAAGAAGATACCGCTGGAGTGGTCCTGGATGTGCTTCATAACAAGCTGGCATTGAAGGTTGAGCCAGGTTCTATTGCTACTTGCCATAGGATCGGTGCTATGAGCAAAGACCATCATCGTCCCATTCTAATTAAATTTACGACCATTGAAACTAAGGCCACTGTGTGGCGGGCGAAGACCCGCCTGCGGGGCACCTCAATATCAGCCAAAGAGTTCCTCACAAGGACCAGGCAGGCGGTATTCGCGAGGGCCCGCCAGCACTTTGGAATGAGGATATGTTGGACCCAGGACGGAGTCATCCACGTCAAGGTGCCTGACGGAACTAGGCACAAAGTCACTACAGACGCTGAACTTGACGTCCTACTCAAAAAGTATCCAAAGTCATCAGGCGTATCCTCTATGGAGAGTGATGTCGGTGCGGCCAGACAACTGAAACCAGCGAAAAAGTGATTGTTAAAACAGTATGTACCACATTTCACGTTTGTGTCGTAATATTTCATTTTCATCATTTTAATCATCACTATAACTATTTAATACTCACTAGTTGATCTCTTAGTTGCATTCCTAATCATTTTCAAATTTATCATTTCATCATTGTAGTTTCTCACTAGTTAGTTTTGCGCAGTAACAAAATTTATTTATCAAAATAGGTAGTAGTGACTTCTTTCATCAATCCCCTACCCTCAGTTTCATTTATTTTATTTGTTTTTATAACTTGTACTCATTTTAAAGTTTTGACATCCTCGATGTTTTGAGAATGTTGTCAAATTATTTATTCATCTGTCACTCCTCGCTGTCAACTATCTGTCAAAGTCACTTAATAAATAGTTTTCGTTT